GTATCCTTCGTCACCAGGGCACCCACCCCATTCAGCAGCGGGCCAACATTTTCCCTAGTCTTCCTCTACTGTTTAAAATACTGTTTAACATCTGCATTAATAATTTAGACAATGGAAAAAATGGCGCCCTTATCAGGTGTGCAAATAATACAAAACTAGGAGAAATTATTGATATACCAAATGGTTGTACTGCCATTCAGAGGGGGCTCGATGCGAGATTGAAGAAGTGGGCTGACAGGATTGTCATGAAGTTCAACAAAGGAAAATGTTAAGTCCTGCCCCTGGGGAAGCGTAACTAAGGGGACCAGTACAGGCTGGGGACTGACTGGCTGGAAAGCGGCTTGGCAGAAAAGGCCTTCGGACCCTTGATGGAGACTAAGTTGACCACAAACCCGCAATGTACCCTTGCAGCAAAGAAGGCCAACAGTCTCCTGGGCTCCACTGGGACAAGTGTTGCTGGAAGGTTGAGGAAGGTGATTATTCCTCTTCTTTTAACACTGGAAAGACCATATCTGGAGTACTGCTCAAGCCTGGTGGCTGGACTGCCTCTAGATTCAAGCTAGACACTCGCACCGCCCTGAGGCTCACTGCATGACTTCCCCTAGCTCAGGTCACTGCTTTGCACGCAGCGGGATATGGCTTATTCCACCTCATCCTTCTGTCTAGCTCTCAGATTTTTTCACTCTCTCTCTCCCCTAGATGGACACAAGCCTTTCTTGAACCGTACCCGGCCTTGTGTCTTTTCTGGTCTTTGGGACACAGGTTCTCATTGGACACCAGAGTCAGTGCTGAGAAGATGCTCTGGTTCTGGATACATCTGGAGCTGCGTGCGCTGTTCGGGGCTCCTGAGTACCAAAGAGACATGGACACATTGGATTGAGTCTGGGGAAGAGCCGCAAGGATGTTTGGAAGGCTTGGAGCATCTGTCATACAAGGAGAAACTGAGAGAGCTGGGCTTGTTCAGACTGGAGAAGAGAAGGCTCAGGGGGATCTTATCACTGTGTATAAATAGCTGATGGGAGGGGGAGTCCAGACGGAGCCAGACTCTTGTCAGTGGCGCCCAGTGAAAGGACAAGAGGCAACGAGCACCAACTGAACTGGAGGCAATTCTGCTTCAGCGTAAGAGCAAACGTTTTTCTTGTGAGAGTGTTTGAACGCTGAAAGAGGTTGCCCAGAGAGGCTGTGGAGTCTCCATCCTTGGGGATATTCCAAGTCTGAGTGCGCGTGGCTCTGAGCAAGCTGCTCTGATTGACTCTGCCCTGAGCGATTCTGTGATTCTGTGGGAGCTGGGATGACTGGAGCCAATGCTTCCCCCTCTCAACTGAGAGTCCAGCCATGGTTTCCTTCATTCCGTGGAGGCTCCGTACCCGGTTCCCTTAGCCATGTCGTTCTTGTAAGTCTGCTTCCCAGTTCCCTTAGCAATCTATCTAGAGGCTCTTCTGAATCAAGCCGGTTCAGATACCAGCCTAAACTCTCATTGTGTAATAGTGATGCAACCATTCCCCACCATTTTCTCTTTCCGCGCCAAGCCCCGGGGGTTAGAGTCTGATGCCTTCATCCCTGACCCACCCCGGCGTGGCTTCTCTGGTGAGGGGTTATCAATGCAAAGGTATAAGTTGAAACCAGGATTTCAAGGGAAGAGACCGGTGTGGCAAGCAGCAAAGGCGGTGAAGCCAGATGTAACCAGATGAAACTAAAAAAAGGCAAAAGGAGATTCGCTGTCAAGAAAAGCTTCCCAAGAGTGAGGTGAGGAAGGCAGTGGAATCATTTCCCTGGTGAAAGCCCCGCCAAGTTTCAGCAGACCATAGCACTCACAAACTGCTGCAAAGGGGTGAGCAAGAGATGGCTCCTAGATTCATAGGTGATGAGGCTGGAGGAGATCATTGCGATCTGTGCCCCGATACCTTGAATAACATAGCTTAATGATTCTTCCCTCAGGAGCTACTGTGCTAGGGCTTCCATTTTGCACCCTGCAGCTGTCTGGTGAAACAGGAAACTAGATGTATGGCATTCTAGAGTAGCTAGAATTGTCTATCCTCATGCAGCCCTCTTGAGCCAGTGGTTTTTATTCGTCTTGGCTGAAACATTTATATATTCTGTGTCTGGGAACGTGACCCCTCCTGTGGGCAGTGATGGCAGTGACAGCAGAAGTAGAGGTGAACATGTCTCTACTGGAAGCAGGAACACAGTAGCAAACAACCGTGCGAGAGCAGCCTTACAGAAGCTCCTTTAAAGATACAGCCCGTTTCCACCACTGTTTCTCTTTTTTAGTTCCTGACTATTTTGTGCTAAATGCAGGAGTTTGCTGGGCTTGGAACCTAAATCTTTCGTCTTCTAGGATTGTATCCAGGTGACTCAGTTGTAGAACCATGTGCGTTTATGTGCTGTTTTTGGCTCAGTGAAGTCTGTTTCTTTGCTGCAGATGGACACAGTTTCTTACTTCCTCCCATGCTCTGTTCTCAGCACGGGCTGTGGGCTAACCTGTCTCAGAAGTCACAAGTGTTAGCCTCTCCATCCTTTCCTGGCCATAACTGAATGGCCTCTTACCAAGAAGTTCCCTTTGCATTTCTGGTATGATTGCAAATATTGATGGTGCCACTGAAATTTTCTGAGTTTTCTAACTTAAAAAAACTTTCAATTTTATTCTCTCTTATGGACTTTAGTATGTTTTTTTATATATCACTTATGATCAAATATCCACCAACCTCCTCTCGTTTTTGAACCGTAGGTAAAATAACTTTAAAACAGAGGTATTTTTCATATTTATGTTGTTAGTTTCTCTGACTAGGCTTTCACTGACCAGTTTTAATAAATAATTTGTAATGTTAAGGGCCTTTGACTAAAAAGACACTAGGAGTATGTTAGACTATTCAACAGTAACTCAGAAATACGTTCTTAGGGAAAGGATTTAACCTTTGTTTGCTGTGAACTCCATCTGGAGAGTGAATTCCTCTTCAGCAAGGCTTCTTGTATCTATTTGTTCAAAAAAAGTCTATCAGTAAATACCGCAATTATGTTCAAATTCCAACAATATATTTCATGCAATATAAGTAGTAGTTTGAATTCTTACCTTCTTGTCCCAGAGACTCCCAAACACCAAAATGAATAATCCCTAGGGGACAGATAATTACATTCAGTCCTTTATGACATCAGCCTTTTAAGTGCAGTACCTCATAGTTATCTCGAACATTGTCCATGTTGACTGAACTCTCATGTGTTTGGTAGAGGGCATTTTTCTTACTGCATCTCATTTAACAGACCACTGTTGTGGTAGAGGTCTCCAGGCCTGGCCTGCCTGAACTGTAGCCATATCTGGTCTACAGAAGTGACACAGGTGGTTTCCTAGCGCTAAGCATACTTAGTAGGATAGACCTTCATGTGTGAAAGACATGCCCTACCTGTGCCCCCAAGGTTAAGCTAGGAGGCTCACAATATAAAAGGCAGGTGAGTTTGGTCTGGAACGTGCAATTTCAAGGCCATCCTTAAGAGACAGAGTAGACATAACTATTGTGTCTGTAAGAAATCCTTTTATATCTGGATAAAGGTGGCTAGTTAAATGTGTTGTTATAAAGATCCTACTGACTGAAAACCATCAGTGATCTGAATTTTGGCCAGTTATCCTCTTTCTTCTGAGAACTGCTCTGCTGGTTTTGGTGACTTTCCTGCTGTTTATACTCCCTCATTACTTCAACCCACAAGAACATCCTATGATACTTCCAGATGCAATGTAAATGAGAGCAGACATGCTGAAGCTCACCCACCTGCTCGTAATAGGGGTATTTTTCTAATCTGTGGGATGCAAGCACTCCGCAAAGCATCTAGCAAAGTCGGAAGTTATCTTTATGTTAGCTTTATCCGTAAGGCTCATCTGTTAAGGCTACTGAGAATACACGATGCTGCTAGATTGGGTTTCCCAAAGAGCCTTTTGGGAATAAGGATATGTAAGATAAACCTAACCTTTTCCAAATTCTGTTTATTCTCCCCAAGCACAGCACTGCGGTAATGTTACTGCGTGTTAAATGGTCATAGAGAAAACAAAACCATGCACATGTGTAACTCACCTGCAAAGCGTTGAGCAGAGCAAAGAGGATATGGAATGCCCGGGAGCTGCTTTTGATGATGGTGGCAAAGCCAAATCCCCAGGTAAGGCCTAACAGTGGTGTCAGGATGGCCACGCTTTTGCCAATTTGAATCAAAGAGTTCCTCTCTTGCTTGTTTGTCCTGTCCCCAATGGTTGGTCTCAGTATTTTTATTATGACGACTGCAGTGATGAACAAATTAATGGCCACAATGATAAGGGCAGGTATGACAAAGGCCAAGAGAGCATTGCTGTCTTCCCAGTTGAGCCAGCAGACTTTCTTTCTGGTATAAATGTCCTTTGGCAGAGTGACAGCAATGGTGATAACTGCAATGACAAAGGGGCACCCATATCCCAGACAGAATGCCACCATTTTCTGAGTAGTCTTGCTTGTGTTGTGTAAGATGAAGACCAGTCGGTACAAAAGAATGAGGCCCAGGCTGAGCATCCAGAAAAAGACACTGAGGTAGAATAAATGGATGAAGAAGGTGACCACTATACAGATATGCTTTTTGTTTTGAGTGGAGGCAGTGACAAGGAACCAAATGTCAGCGAGCAGGAGTGACATAGCTATGTTGAGTATGCAGACATGGCGCATATAGGAGGTTGTGTTGTTCGTCACATATTTCCAAACTAAGGATTCAATTATAAGGCAGATCACCAAACTCAAGATGGAAATGCCCAGACCAATGTAGGTAATATAATCTTCAGTGCTTCCCTGGCGGGATTCATCAGGTGACATCAGAATCGAAAATGATGTCAAGTGATTGCAGGAGCAAATGACATCATCTTCTGCCTCTATGGTTGTGCAACCACTACTATTCCAATCTCCACTGCTATTGGGACCAAAGTTCCAAAAGACACACTGTGGCTCCTTTAGGGAAGTATTTTTCTTTGCAAAAGTCATATTAATATGGATGTTCTGCTTTCTGTTTCTGCTCACAGTTGTTGTTAGCAGTAAGCCATTCACGAGCATGGGCTTGTTCTGGGGCAAAATATGTCCAAGTGTTGAGTAGGCCACACTGACAATGGTGGAACTTTGTGGCAGGGTCTGAATTTCAGCTTCATCTATTAGCACATTAACCGTGAGGTTTTCTTTACTGGTGAAGTTCTTACTGTAGTCTGTCTTGCTATTTTCTGTGACTACTATACCTTCTAGCTGAATGGTATCTGTGTTGACAGGAGGAATGGTATTATTAACTGGTTGGAGGTACTCTGAAAATCTTTCTACTGAAAGCAGTAACAAAGAGCTTTTATGTGGCTGCTGCTCATCCAGTACTTTCCAAGTTTCTATTATGGAATCATCAGCAATCGTGTCCACTGTAGAGAGGAAATTCTGTAATGACAACAGAGTAGTGGTGTTACAGAAATCCCATAGAAATCATTGTTATTTCTTGTGATATTTTCTGTGTGGTCCTAGAAATGCCTTTTGGAACAGCCCAGCATTTCCTCTTTTTCCCAAGCCATATGAAACCTTCAGTCATTACCGCTCTGCATGCCATATTTTCAAGTCCAGGTTTTGAAAAGTTGAGCTGCTTGGCTTTTCTTGTCATATTATTTACTACTTTCTCTTGTCACTATTATTTACTACTACTTTCTTGTCATATTATTTACTTTTCCAGCCTTCTGTCCAAGCCCTCCGTCTTTGTGCTATCTTTGATTCATCTGTCACTCATTTAGGGTTCTGCAGCTACAAAACATCAAGTCTTCTGGCACTTTTCTGCTCAGAAAAGCAGTGCTGTTCTATACCTCATAGTTAAGGCTTTCAAGAATTTCTGAGATGTGTTCTGTAATTTATTTATTCTTACATTCAGTTGATTTTCCTCGCTTTATCGTGGCCCCTGGAATTAACTCTCCTTATCTTTATTTTAACCTTTTCCTTTTTTGTATTCCTGCTCCTAGTCCATCATTCTTTGTCCTTTCCTCTGGTGTTTAGTGCCAGAGACATTTATGGATCCTTAGAACATTTCTGTTTACTAAGCATGCAGTAATTTCTCTTCCTACTGCTTAAGTCTTTTTGTCCTCTTTCGTGCATAGGCCCTTAGTCTTCATCATCTTGGCTTTTCATAAGCTCTTCTGTGTCTTTCTGTCATTTCATCTCATTCCCTGAATTCTCACCTGCTCCTGACTCTAACTACGACATTTTTTGAGGAGCGTTTCTTCCTCTGTGGCACAGAGGTCAAAGGGCTTGGTAAGTACTGGCAAGAATTAAAATAAAACCTTACTTTAATATTGAATTTATTTGCATCTACTGGGATAGAGGAGACCAAATCCAGGATGGTAACAATTGCACCTAGGTTTGCAGAATGATTTAATGTACTTTGCTTCTGTGCTGTCAGATTCTGAAGATCATCAAGATATTTAGGTAGCTTTGCTCTTGCCTCAGGATTGTTGACCAAAGACTGGAATGGAAGATAACATAACATTACACATATGCACTTTGCCTGGAGTTTGAACCTCCTTCATAATAGCTATACAGAATCAGGCCCATTATAGCCATGCCGATAGAATTGAGCTCTTTGTCCCTCCAGAATGGGGTATCTAGACTGCCTGTTGAGAATGGTCTCTTGCCTGTGCTAACTTCTAGGCTGTTTAGGGGAATTATTTGGGAGAAAATAGTTGGCCTAGGCCCAAATCATACCAGGGAGTATCCTGCGAAAAAGTTATGAAACTAAGTGATTGAGTAGCTGTGCCTCTGCCTGGGCCCTTGTTAAGTCTAATTTACTGAAATAAACATAGTCAGTGAGTATTTAATGAAAGAAAGATAATTTTTCTCATCTAACTTCACAGAGAAAAGGGTGACTCTGGATGGTTTGTGGAGGTGAACAGTGCTATATGGTAGGGACACCTAGCCGCCTGAAAGATTCTAAGTCTAGCACCTATCTGGGAAGTGCAGTGGCTGAGGGAACATGCTAAACAGGGCCTGCACACAGGCTCGGACAATCCACGTAGGCTCGGGCAATGGCCCGTAGTTGTCCATACTGCTTCATTGTACTCAGTGGCATAGTCTGGGCTTGTGCCACCTAGCGTTCACCCAGGCAATACCTGAGCATGGTTCAGGATATACCAGATGCCAGGGACTTTTCCCAGTAGGCACTATGAACAAGGTCATCTTGTTTGAGGGAAAGGGCATTTAAGTGTGTGGATGTCAGCCATGCAGTGCCATGTGCCTCTGGGCCAGAGGAAGGGATTTGGCCTGTTTTACTGACTTCTGTAGATATAGCCAATTGTTGTCTATGTCTTTTAAAAGATAGATGCAATTATTTTTATTTTTAATACCTCACATATTTTAGATATTCTTGAGCAAAAAAATCCATTTCTGTTCTCTCTTTTAAAACTATCCCCTCCCTTGAAACCTCACACCTCAGAAAAACTCATAAATGTTACCTCAGCCCCCAGAAGCAAACTGTTTATTGTTACAGAAAGGCAATCATTTCTGGAAACCACCCAGGAGCTGCTGGAACACTCGTAAGTGACAGTGCCTCGGTTAAGACCATGTTCACTGTTTAACTCAGTGCACGGCTTCTCTATTTTGGCTCCTTGCTCTCCAGTGCCCAAAGAGTCTGAGCAGTCAACTTTCCCGCCTGTATTGAGAAAAAGAGAGAGAGATGGAAAACTGAGAGACTGTGAGGTACCCCTCATCAGATCTATTCAGAGGTCTTTAACTCTTAACCTTCAGAGGTTAGCATTTCAGTTTGCCATCTTGGGTAGTTACGATCTTTGAGTGTATGTATGCCTTGGAAGCTGTATTTTTCAACAGCTTCCAAGCCTTTGCTACTCTCTACAATAAGAATAAAATGGAAATGTTTATGTCTTCAAATCTTCCTCTGAAGCCTGACCATGAGCTTTCTTGAAGGTTAAGAAACTTTTCTTGGAACCCTGTTTCCTCATTTACAGGCATCTTAGCACTTGCTGATTCTGTCAGGCACCAGAAGCAAGATGCTTGAAACTCAGTATTTTTTGGAGCTGAAACAAAAGTAAGAAACAAAACCTGGTGAAAAGAAACAAACAAACAAACAAACAAACAAACAAACAAAAACCCTCCTTTTAAATTTCCAGTCCAATTTTTTTGGAATCATGATATTACAAAGAAAATTGAATCAAGCCCCTTGTTTCTGAGTACTGAACCAAATCAACAAACCAACACCCAAACTTTCAGAATTTGTCCATTAGATTACATTGCACAATAGGCGTGGAGGGGGGATCATATTGACCACTATGTGAATTGTAATTCTTCGTATGTATGCGGCCATCTCTAGCCCAAGGTTTGTGTTTGCTAAGGGACACAGTGCTGCCGCAGCACTAACAGGAAATTCATTTAGGCCTTGATAGTGAGTCCTCAACACCAAATAGCAAGACAGACTATAGTAAGGTCTTGCAAATAATCTAATTGGCTTTGATTAAGTTAGTCATACCAATAAGTAGCTGCTGACTAAAGTAAATAAAATATTTGCAGTGTGATCCTAAGGCACACTGTATTTATTGCCAAAGAGAGTGAAATCTGGCCCAATACACTTAGAGTCCATGATAGGCACCACTGTTTATACTGTGGATGAAACAGAATTGCGGCGCTATATGGATGTCCAATGTTTGTTTTTTTTCTGATTCAGAATAAGAAGCTGAAATACCCAAACACTGGTCAGAACAAAACTTACCATCAAAACTGAATTTAGGAATGTTGAATTCTAACTGTCCAGTATTTCCTCCAGAGCTGACTGGAAGCTGGGCCTGCCCAGGTCTCTGCAATACTTCAGGGAAATTGCCACTCTTGTGTTTAAGGTGGATATGCTCTCCCACAGGCTGACCCTCTGCGCTAGACAACTTCTTCCTGAGGCCACACAGTCTTTTACCCTTGCTAAATTGTTGATGCAAGCTGGGATGTTTATGGCCGCGGTACAACTTGGGAGATAGAGCCCAGTGGGGCACGCCATACTGGAGGGAAGTAGGGACAGAAGAGGACTGAGCTGTGAAAGCTCAGGAACATAATGGGACTGCTATCAAATAGAGTGAAAAGAAATTTTTTTTTTTTTTAATTTCAGCAAAACCCATTCTTTTCTCTGTAATCTAAAATTTCCCTTTAAAAAAGAGGCAAAAAATTCTTGGCTAGCAAAATCTTGTTCCTGTTCCATGTCATGAGTAATAACTTTGTGGCCTCTGACTTAACAAAGTTATGGAGATTTCCTGTTTAACAGCTTTAAATAGTAACATTTTCTTACCAGATATCGGTTGCAGTATTATATGGTTACTCTTGACTTCATCTCCAATGCGATTAACAAACTTACAATATGCCAGGAGGGGTGATGTGTTGCTGTCTGGTTTTGTTTCTGTGTAATTATACATTGTGTAATAGCACAACAAATATCCTTCTTTATTTTTCCCTGCATGGAAAGATTGAGATAGGTTAATATAAATTTTAGGTCAATCAGCTAGCAGAGAGCAGAAAGCTTCTATAAAACTTTTTTTCCATATATCCTAGAGGAAAGCTTTCTTCGTGGAGAGTCAGTGTATGCTGATCTGTCTGTTGCTAATTTATTACACCCCCCCCCCCCACCCCCCCCCCTCACCCACCTGCTATATGATCAGCATCCTTTTTGATTGCTGGTGTATGAGCAAACCCTGCCCAAACCCTCTTACTGGGCAGGAACCAAAATTTGCCTTAGAAACACTTCTGGTGAATGGTCTTCCTGCTTCTGCTTCTACTACAGGCATTTGATTTGGGCTGGGATTTTTTTTTTTTTTTCCTGTTCATACATGATTCTTTCAAACCCAGGATCTGCCCTGCATTCCCATTGCTTTTCACTATGCCCGAGGGTCTCTGACTGCAATCTCTTTGGAAGGGATCTTTGCATTTTTTCTTAGCAACCCAAAGATCCAGTCTCCTCCTGCTTTATACTTCAGCCTGTTGTTTTTGCACTCCTGCATGTTTTCTGAATTAGTTTAGGTAGCTCTTCTGTGCTCTTTTCTAATCTATTTCGTGAGTCCCTTGACAATTCCTAGTGTGTAGAACATGCTAAGGAAGCTGCAAAACTGCCCAAAATTAAAGACATAAAAGCCTAGGCTTTTGTGCTGTTAATGATGTTTTTACCTGTATCCTTGATGAATATATAGTTCTCTGAATTGCATTCATAATATTTTATTCTACATTTTTCATGAATTAATAGATCTTCGTAAGTAACATTTCCTCAATACTGAATTCCAAAAATGGCAGAGTGAAAGATAAAAGCAAATAAATAGAATTCCACCAATTTCTAATCTGAACAGTGATGGGGATGCTTATTCTCACTGCCTGACAAGGCACATGAAACCACTGAATTTACTCATATTTATCGCTACAATAGTTGACTTGTGATGGCAAGGTGAATAAAAGTCACTGCTGAGAATAAAGAAGGATTCTAAGAATATCTGTAAGACATTACATAAATCACATATTGACTGATCCTGTATAGGCTGAAGTAAAGATCTGATGCTTTCCGATAACTAGTAGTAAGAAGAAAGGGCTAACAGACAATGGTAAAACGGGAAGAAGCTGGACATGGTTAAGGGTGAGAAGGACCTTATTGTGTATAACCCAAAATCATGTGAAAAATAGTTACAATTGCTAACTCTCTAACTGCTGAGATCACAGAGTCTCCTACAGACTGGGGTTGTGACACTCAGTGTAACTATTACTTCAACAAGTTTATTGTTTCTTACCAGCTTGAAATTCATTTTCTTGAACCACAAATGTAACATTATAATCGTCACTGGTATTGGCATTTATGCAACACTTAAGGGTTTGCAACTTGTTATTCTGTATAAACGCACTGATGGGGTCTAGCAGGATGTTCTGCTTCAGAGGCAAGGGAACAACCATGATTGTCGCATTGGCAGAACTGTTCAGATTCTTCTGGGAGAACGTGCAGATGTAGGTGCCTGAAAGCAATGACACAAAAAGTATGTCTCAGTCAACACAAGGGCTCCTCAGCTTTTATCTCGTCATGAATCCCAATACTGAACAAAGACATTGTTGTGGGCAGCATCATGCCTTGCTGTCCTCCAGCAGTTTCGTTTTTAACTCTTTTCTTTATTTCCTGTGGCCAGGCATCACAGTAATTTGCCAGACTAAGGATGCTGTAAATTATCTGGTCCAGAGAGTTCATTGCCTTTTGTAGCCAATACAAACTGTATTCACTCACCGCTCCAGGCCTCAGTGGCAGTCCTCACACTGAGCTCAGATTTCGCTGGGTTTTTGCTGCTATTGATGCACATGGGACAGTCTATAATTTTGGTGGTATTTCTGTCCTGGATTTTCCAAATTACGTTGTCATAGTTGCTCACATCACTTGTGCATGTTAGATTAAATGAGCGTCCCTCAGAAACGAATGTTTTTATACTTGAAGTTATAGTTACACGTGCTGAGGTGACACAAGATAAATGACATGTTATTGATGGTCATTCATTACAATCAGTCACTTGCAAATGGCACGTGCCACAGATGCCACCTGGGCATCATCAAAGAGCTTATGGTTTGTGTTACACGCTACCTGATTCTTACCTGTTCGGAAATACGTCACTCTGATGTTTTGACTGGTGCTTGCACCATGTCCAGTATGCAGCTCACATGTGTATGTTGTCACTGTACCTGACTTCTCAGGTGGGCATAGCAATGCATTGACTTTGAGCTTGTATTCAGTGCAATTTCCAGTGAAACTGGAGACTCCTAGAGTGAAATAAACAATCCTTGAGGGCTGTGGATGTCCAAAAATACCTGGGCTCTGAAAATCACAAGCAATCCCACTAGCTAAGGAAAATTCTGTGGGTTTATATGTAGTCTTTGGTAGCGTAGCACTTCTAACGCATCAGTGCCAAAGCACACCCTTTGCTCTGGCAGCACTCAACAGTGGTCTCCAAAGGCCAGAAGCCCAGCACTCTGCCCAGTGCTGGACACCTACTGCCAAAACCAATCTCACTGAGAGCCACAATATTGCTCAGATGCCTCAGGATGCCAGAATGAAGAATGTTGTGGTGCAGGCCTAACCTTATTATCTGTCATATTTAGGATGAGTAAGGTAAGTAAAATGCAAACAAATATTGCACATTTAAGATCATCTTATTTTGAAATAAACAGTGTGAGGACTTTGACAGGCATTCAACTTTAAATCTGAAGAGTGCAGGTTTAGCTGTAAGGGGGCAAGACTGCTAAAACTATCACATACTGAAGCTGAGTGTGCACCTGGTTTATGAGCAAAATTTGTGGATGAAAACCTGGCCACAATAAATCGAGAGCAAAACAGCTGATTACAGTAGGGCAGGATTTCATCCTTTCTCTCTGAAAACATTCCTGCACATCCTTATCTATCCTCTGCAGAAATGACTATGTGAATGAACTTTGAAGGTTTTCTCTCATTTTGCTGCCCCACTTTTTGCTGAAGTTTTATTGATAACAGATGGTTAATAATAAACAGTTAATCCATAGCAATAAAATAGCAATAAAATAATATTTAAAGGGTCCAATAGGGCAATAGTTTGTTTATGACAATGTTTTATAGACATTTATGTTGGTTTCTATTCATGCTATCTTTTAATCAGCTCTAGCACGATGTTCTTGGAGCTGTATTAACTCTATAATTGTATTATAAAAAAAAGCCTTACGGGAAGTCTGACTGAATAGGCACGTGATAAATCACAGCTACACAAATTGTGGAGTCAATTTTTTGCTATGCTGCAGCTGTTTTGAACTGTACCACCTGCCCCTTTGGTTACCAAATCTTGGTATGTGGTACCCAGAGGCTTTCACACCAAGGGTGATTGTGGAGAGATCCCTAAAGGCTGATCCACAGCCCTTACTCTCAAAACTAGACAAAGCAAAAATAAGCTTTGTGGAAAGTCAGTATGGTGCTGGTCCAGGCTGAGGCTTCCAAGCAGGATGGCACAGTTTTGAGCAGCAGTGTCTGCACAATGCATGAAAATGACCAAAATCCCACTGGGACCAAGACAATGCAAAAGAACCTCGCTCCCTGCTTTGGAGCACATACCCAATATTCATCCTAGGACTTGGCCTTTTGAGGGGAGCTGCTGCAAAATAAGAGGAGGCCCCAGAAGAACAGGCAAACCAGGCAGGCTAAAGACAATCTTTTGGTAATCTTACCTGTAATGTTGATAGGTCCATTTACTTTCCAGTCGCCAGTTAGTGATGGTAATTGTCTGTCAATGCAGCAGAACAGCAAAGGACCATTTGTCTGCATTTCAGGACTGTCACACGTAACATTAATGTCATTTAAATGTGAAATGATGTGTAGTGGAGAGACGTTTATTGCTTTCATGGCCTTATATATCAGCTTGTAGTACAGACTGCTGTTTGTGAAAATGCACATATAGGAACCTGCAAAGCACAGGAAGTGTCTGAGAACATGTTTTTGCTGTTGTTTCATCTAACTTTAGTTAGGAGCTGGGAGTCACTTCCTCTCCCAGTTATCACATCTCCCGTCACTCTGCAATAGAGTGTGACTGTAGTGACTGCAGTGACTCTACTATTGTTAGTCAAAATTTGCTCTCAGGTCATCTGGAGCATGTTCCCTGTAGACTCCTGATGCCAGAATTCAGATTATCCCACTTCAGTGCTGATGGGCACTTGAGAAGAGACCAGCGCTCTGGGGCTGCAATGCTTAAAATCTAGCTGAGTTGGTATTTGGGGTCCAAATCCAGAGAGTAGCAACATGTCATGGTAAGTTAATAGTAAGACTATGCAAAAGAGTCCTACAGGGAATAAGTCAGAGATAGGTGCTTAAGGTAGACGCCACAAGAGCTGGCACTCAGAGTGCGGACACCTACGCTACTCAGAAGGTACTGTCAAGGAGAACAGGGTATTTACTGGCTGCTTTCTTAGGCATGTGTCCCCTGGATGCAAGCTAGGCTTCCCTTTGAAATAGGCATTCAGAGCCCTTCCTCCTTACTTTAGGCACAAAGGTTTCCCTTTTCCTTTTCATCTTGCAAGTAGACCACTCTCACAAGAGTGGGGACACCAAGATTCAGGTTGTCCTTAGCCCAAGGAGGTTTGAACACACAACTCCTACCTCCCAAATATCACAGGCTGTCCTGAGTCATAGTACCCATGCTTTTTGAAGCTAGATGTGAAATTCATGGTCCAAAGACAAGAACTGAGTGTGAACTTCAGTCAAGACTCTGGCAGTACTGTAGAACTCCTCCCACCACAATTTCACCAACTTACCTGTTTCTGATTTTTGAACAGCCCTAAATCTGAATACATGAAAAATACTGTAACTCCAAACTTACTAGTTAGCTTATGTTTGAAAAGGGCAGGCGTATTTGATGAATCACCACACCAGAAGGGTGGGAAGGCTGCAAGCCATTTAGCCACCTGTGATATGGCAGTGAAGCCTACTACTCGGAAGACCCAGGCCTATATAGTCACTTCAGTCAGTTCATAATCTGCCTGGCATTGCCAGTGAGTAGGTGGTTCATTAAAGAAAGAACAAACATGAAAATTATGAGGTACATTATACTTTTCTCTTTCACTCTAGGGAAATGCCATCACTGCATTCTTCTTTGTTTTTTATAGAAAACTGCCCACACTAGAGATCTGCATCTACTGTTTTAACAACAGAGAGAAAAATCATACCAGAATCCACCGTTGTTACTTCAGTAATTTTAAGAATTGTCCTTGAGGTTTTTTGCGTAACTTGTGTTATCACTGAGTGTCGGTTGCTGTTTGAGATGATCTGACCAGAATGATACCAGGTCACATTCTCAGAAGCTACATTTGTCTCACAAATCAGTGTTATTGTGTCCCCTTCAAAAATATCTACAGGTATCACGGTGAAGTTTGTCTGATCTGGAAAGACAAAGAGCAACATTCAGTGTTATTGTCATTCAGCTCACATCTAAATGCTGTCTTGCATCTCATGGTAATTGTAGTTACTTCACAACTTACACATACTCATCATCATTTGCATGGCACCATCTCTGGTGCAAGGTACATCATTTTCCCATGACAGATCCTTCTACTGTCTTTGTCAGCCATAAATCCCAGAAATATTATCACCACCCCTACCTTATAAGTAGAGAGATCAGGAAGAGAAACAACCAGGTTGAGGTAATCCTCCAAGTCTGGGATAGACAGTCCAGTGCTCAGCGCTTGTAGAGTACAGCACTTTCTTAGGCAGTTGGTCAGGCTACTGAAGCGTGACACACCATCCAGCAGTGGCATGGAAATGTGCCAAAGGAACCAGAAGGAACCCTCTCTTACATAAAGTGCAAGAGATTCACTGATTTGTTTAAAGAAGAGGGAAATGCTGGCAGCCTGATATGCTAAGGGTTGTCACAGTTCTGGAAGTGAGGTCAAGGGTATTCAGTCTCTCTCCTATGGAGAAATTGCATCAAGGTTCAGTGGAGTTGCTGGAAGGAGTTGATTTTCAGTGGGAGGTACTGGGTGGATGGCTATCTCATGTAGTTCCTCAGCTTTGATGGCGTATGAGGAGATGAAATGAAACAGCCAGAGAAATACACGATTTTTGAAGGCCCAGTACCAAATAATCAAGAGTGTAAGGCAGCTGCATGAATAAGTTTACCAATACTAACGAAAAGGTCAAAGGGAAATACTGAGAGAGCTTTAAACTTACTTGTTATTTCTGTGGTAAAGGAGGTGGGAATTAGCCTGTACGACGTGTCTAGAAATTGTGGTACAAATCTATTAGAATTTTCTATCTGTTTGAAGGTTGCTGATGCTGCTGTTACTTCATAGTTCACAGAAACACTCCCAGGCCTGAACAGATACAAGAATGAGAGAAGGACCAGAAATAAATAGCCTTGCATATCAGTGAATTTATTTGTTGTGGTGACCTGTTTTGCATGGCTGGGAAGGCTCCTTCTGTGACTCAAGACTTGCTCTGGTGTACTAGAAGGTTGTGCTACAGCTCTTCCCCAATTCAGGACACATATAAGGTCCATCTACTTGGTCTGGATGCCTATCTCTAGTAAACTTCCCTTAGAAATCCTAAAATGCAGCTGCATTCAAATATGTGTTGACTTAAGTAATGTCTTTTGTATCCGGATCCAGTGTTACACTCACAGCCAATTTACTAATTCATCTTCCCAATGGCCTGGGAGATGTTGCTATAGCTTTACCTGCATCCTTTTGCCTTTTCGGTGAAATTCAGTCTTTTCAGAAAGCCCATAGAAGGATTTGATCCAGCTGGAGAGTTAATATGTTGCACGAACTTTTGCACAGGAATGACTTTTACCACAATCCTATCTTCATACTAATAGCTGGGTTTTCCTTTGCTCCTATTGTACTGTTATATAGCATGTATGCAACTGTGCACATTGTAAATGCAGTGAATATAGTCTTTGCTGACCTGCTCCTAACTCTGTCTCCTTGAAGAAATAGGTCAGAAAGATATCTGTTCCAGAAGAAAGAAATTGCTTCCCTACCTGAAACTGGTTACTGTTGCCAATACAAAGCCTGGTAAACATCTGTAGCTCTCATTAAACTGCAAATAAAGAGATATTACATGGAATGAGTCCTTTGTATCTTGTTCCAAGCTGCTTAAAATATGAAGTTCTCTGTTCAACATTGACAAGATCGAAAGCACATAGCAAACATATGTTGGTATAATGGGCCTAGTGCACTTCCCTCTTTCACTGGGATAGATTTGTGCTGATGGTTTCATTCTATATTTATACTGCTTGCTTGGGGACTTAAACTGGGACCAATATAGTGATTTTTTTTCATGCATTTTTGTACAAAAGGTTTCTAAATGCTTCCCTGCCTATTTGCATATTAAAATGAATGGGAATGTTGCTATTGACTTCCAGTGGAGGCCAGCTTTGGCCTTCCTCGTAGCTACCACTGCTGCACGCTTCACAGCTCCCTGCTGGGACAGAAACAGTGCACGATATTTTACAGCTAAGACACTGATCCTTAGGATAAATTCCATATCTCTGAGGGGATTAGGTGCTTTCAGGGATGGAAAAAAAAAAAAAGTCTTTACCGCTTTTTCAAGGTCAGCTTTGTATTTTTTGTATAATTCAGAAGAAGAATCCCCGAGATCATTCATAAAGACTGTGTTGAGTCTGACTGACATATTTATTACAAGGGGCTCTCCCATACCACAAGAGTCTGTAAGGAAAAGGATAAAAATGAATGTAGAAATAATTAAAAACAATGATTTCAGAGTAATTTCTTAGCTTTTTATTCTAACTTAATCCACTTTCTATTCAAGCATAAATCTTACAACTTGCCCCAATTCAACTGTATGATAGCAAACGTAGGATTCTCCTAACTGTCTTTATCTGAGAGGTCTAGCGTCTGATAGGTGTGTGTGCTCCAAATCCAGTTGATGCAAAGCTATAGATACCTCCAGAATGTGATACATTCAAAAGATGGTAAACAGCTTTCCTACAATGGTTGAATTACTAAAGGGTTCTAGTTGTTGAAGGAGTTTAGATGACTAACTTTGACTGGATGCTTAACTTTTATGCGCCTAAATTAGATGGGATGAATCTCCTCCATAGGATCAGTCTATGTTCCACTGAAATTAATGGAAGAATCCTTGATGACTTCAGAAGGATAAAATTGTGGGTCAAGCCCTATCAATGGACACAAGAGATGGCAAAATGCTTAGAAAACTATGGGACTTTTCTGAGTAGGATCCCTTTAAGGATATGCCCATACCATGTGATGGAACATGGTGCCCAGGGCCCTAAACTTGCAAGGGAGCTAGGACTTCCACATGGTGGGCTGCCTTGCAGAGGTACTAGCTCTAGTGTTAGAGGCAGTATGGCTGTATCAGCACGGGGCTGCTCTGTGATAGAAGCAGCACTGATTAGCGCAGGCACGCTGACACTTTTGGACTGCGTCCAGCTCTGAGGCTGCCTCTGGGTATCTCTGCATGATGTGCCATCTCAGTATGAATTGAGATGAAGTAGACCCTCATGGGGTTTGTCTTGGACTGCAAAGACAACAGGTCATGCTCCACCCCAGCACTGCCAAGCCTAAGTGTTCAGTCATCAGTCAGGTTCCTAAAAAGTCGTGGGCAGCTTGGCACAAGAGCCATGAAATAAAAGCAAACAAAAGATACACACTATTATTTTTTTGTTTCCTCTCATCTTGTAAGCATTGAGACACACTTTGGTCACATTTTTAAGCTCCTCTATTGAAAGCCTGAGGATGCAAAAGTTTCTTTGCTTAGTAGAAGCTGAAAGTCTCAAGGAGGCGAGTGAACGGGGCTCCAGCATGGACACTGAATATCTCTAGGTATGGCTCAAAGGTCTATATGGCTCAAGGTGGGCTTGCATCACAATGTGAATAAGACCTCCAGGGCATCCCTGCAGACTTTGCACATTCATTGACAATGTGTAGCCAGTTCCACCTGGGGGTGCTGCTATAGAGCATCCTTAGGACTATCCCATCTTTCTTCTAACTAGTGTGTGGGTTGTAGAGTGATGAAATTCAATGCTATTTCTCCTTACCTGCCATCTGAGGCTCACAATAAGGCCCATAGAAAGGCAATTGTTTGATGTAGCCACAGGACTGCTTGGGTGCTAGACTGACAGAAGGGCAGGTTATTAAGTCACTGCAAACTGCTCTTGGCCATGCATATCCACTTTCGCAGGAGCAACAGCTCTTGTTCTCACCAGTGGGCAGACAAACTAGTGTCAGACAGAAAGACAAATATATGAGAATGGTAAATGGGACAGAACATATTGCATGATACATATTTGCCCTGCTATATCTTTATGCATGTGGTCTTAACTGAATGTTACCTTTCTTGTGAGTTCACTTAGATGATGTAAGCTTGATGATCTGATGCCTTGCAAATTTTACTGTCCTAATCATAAATGACTAACCCAAAAGGGGAACTAGGCTTGTACAAGGATAAGTCTGATCAATTATCTTTGAGTGTTATATGAATGGAAATGTGAAGCCTGATCCTAAAAATTTCCCTGGTATATTGGCTAGGGTTCTATGATAGTTTTAAGGTTGGATATTTTATATACATTGCCTAGGCCAGAAGTAAACATCATATATGCTTTTCAACCTTGTAATAGCAGCCTTCAAAAATATGTGATGGTTATTTGAGGTCTTGGTGGCTAATGAGATGCTGTGTCATTCTGTATCTTGACATCTTCTCTTTGCGTATCTTGACACCTGAACGCTGCCTAAGAGAAAGCAACATTATCCTGAAGTTCTTGGAAGACATACATTCTCCCTGATCAAAAAACCCTTTTCACTGTAAATTTTTCTGCTTTGAATGTGCCATTGGCTACTAAAAGGAATTTAACTCTCAATAAAGTAGAATAAAATAGTAACAAAATGATTTTTGCACATTGCATGCGATCCTGAAGGCCCTTAACAGATTAGTTTGCTTGTTGTTTTGAGAACTGATGGGCATTTCCTTTCACTGCTCCCAGTCCAGTGATAAGAAAGCACAAAACATCCCCCTCCTCTACTGTTGTAAATATTTGATGTGTTTATATATTCTCTACCGTTTTTAGTTATTTGAATGTGATGTTGCACAACCACAACTCACATAACAACACCTATCTGATATCTTTGCCTGTAAGAATAAGTCAGAGAGTTACATCGGCAAAAGATGGCATCCCATGAAGCATGTCTTTGTTGAGGTCAGAGTACAGCCTCCTATAGTAATTTACATTCCAAGTGCAAGTCTGAAGGAAGTAAACACTCTGATAATTGCTGTTGTAGCTTCCTGAAACTTTAAAGTAACTCAGACTACTTGTTATTCAAACTAGAGCAAAATCCTTTGGCTCAGGGTCTCTCACAGTCTCTCTCTTCCTTAAAGAGAGAAAAGAATCCAAGGCTACTCCTAATGCCAACATTATGTAAAGAGGAGCAGCGGGGATGCAGATGACACAACATGATGTGCTGTGTGCTAAAGCTTTGGTCCCGAGCCTTTCAATAAACAGCAGAGACAGTTCAGTTTTCCTGACCTCTAAGTGAGATGGGGGGTAAAACTGGGAGAGATCAAATAGTGGCGCACAAGCATGTTGCCCAGAATACAAAAAAAACCAACCAACCCACCTGTTGTAACATTGATGCTTGAAACTGTCAGCTCTACATTTGAAACATTTGCTGAAACTGGAAGATTAAGGTTCTTGAAATACTCTTTGACTGGACCCAGAAAGGATAAATCCGTAAGGCTTACTTCAATGTCAACAGTATACGCCACAGTGGGAAAGTCAAAAGTAAGCACTGAAAGAGAAACAGGATGAGACTGCAAAGCTATGTGTCAGGGTAAATCATAAGCTGATAACTTCCAGGTCAGCATTTGGGCTCTTCATTGCTATTTAATGTTAGCTGAATGTAACATTCTGCTTCCCATTTCCTAATCAGTAGATGTTCCACATGTGCCTTATCTGCTGCTTGTCTGACAAAACACAGATTTCTTTGGACTCAGAGCAATAGGAAGCTGAACAAAGTGGCATAATATATGCAGAGAAAAGCTGTCTCATCCCTTCTCTCCTTCAACTCAGCAAACACACAGGTTGTCAGTTGTAGACTGAAGCCGTTAGGGATTATCTTGTGATCTTGTCCTGCTAAAAGTCCTTTTTTTTTTTCCCTTCACCATATATTTCGTCTTGCATAGAAAGCTGTGATCATATATTTCAATCTCTGACCAGCTAAATGTTTCCACCCCTGTGGTTTATGCCCTTATTACCACCCTGTTTTTGAGAACAATTCGCTATCTGGACAGATGCTATCCCCAACAGTTATTTCATCCTTGGCTTGCTACAGTCTGTTCTGATACCATACATTTGTGCACATACCATTTCGCTTCTGCCTTTGCCACTCCAAGTGGAAACGTTCCTCTTCTAGCATACTGTTAGTCTGGTGGAGAAAAGAAAAGAAAGTTTTATTTGCTGTTGCTAGCATGAGAGAAATAGTGAAGAAAATGAGGGCGTAAATAAGAATGCTCCCTCCACTGTTCTCCCCCCACTCATTCTCTTCAAATAGAATATCTATGTCTTCCAAGCAGGGAAATGTTAAAACACCAGCTAAGGGGTGTATCGAGCTTGCACCTGCCTTTTTGCATATCTTCACAAGCAGATGTGCCTGACCTTAATAGGAGCTCTGCGGCTGAGCTGCAAATTGTCTGCAGTAGTACTCTCTTCCCCTGGGCAGCCTTGCAACCTGCTCAGGAGACCTTCTGGCCCTTCTCCCCACTCTATCCCCTCTGCACGCCTTTTGGGCAGATTTAGGTAGTAGGAAGGATCCCTATGCTGCTGCCCTGGAAGGCATATTGCGTCCTGAGAGAAGATATTGCCTGTGAGAGTTTTGGTCCATGAATTCCACTTAGCCTTTGAATCTGGAAAGTGAACTCATATTGCCCTTTGCTTTCCTCTTTGCTCTGAAATTCCAGCTCTGCAGCAGCAAAGCCAGCTGGAGTAGGAGCGGAAAGGGGATTGAAATGTCTTGGCTCCAGCTCAGGCGTTAGGTCAAACAGCTATTTCATGGGCCATTGCTAACACACGACTGATCAGGGCAGTGGTGGCACAATTTAAGCGTGACCGGGCTCAAGCAGGTTGCAGCCAAATGAGGTGCAGACCATCTTATTTTTCAGCCATACACTAAAAATACACTGGCACCACTGTTAGAAATAAAGACTAAAGAATAAGCAGACACAGGCAGGAAATTTGAAGCTTTGCCAGTTTCTTGAACCCTACTGAAAACTTTATTTACAGAAGGGGTGAATAGCTTGGCAACTCTTAAGTCATCTCTTTACATAAAGGAACCATCTGGTGTGTGATTAGAGCTGGGCTTCACATTGCAGTTGTGCTGGCGGTGGCGATCCCAAGGCGTGTTGGCATTTTTAGACAGCCAGGGGTACTACCTTTCATCTTGCTCAGAGGTCAGCTGGAAAATTTTTTTTAAAAGCCCTCTGCAATCCACTTCTTCCTCCAGGTTTGGACTAGATGGTTTCTTTTTTGAATTGTTCTCCCGAACAAGTGCAGAATATTTCTATGCTGTTAAATACTTCACACCATATTCACACCAGACATATTTCACGAGTAAATGACTCATTTGCAGGGTGTATCATGGATCAGTAATGCTAAGAAGGAAGGTACTGCGCTTTTCATGAAAATGTCTAAGTGCTGAGTTGGAAGCAGTTTGAAAACAGAGCAAACAAGATACTCGGTCGCTATTAACCCTCCACAGTAGGGTGGAAGGTGCTGCAGGAACCAGTTTGTCTTGGTTTGCCAAGGTGGTGATGGTGGCAGTAAGAGCTAGAGGAGTTCCCACCTTCCTCTCCTCTTCTCCATGCCTCTTTGCAACCTGCTCAAAATAAGCTCATTATCCGCTCAATTGTGCTGATATAAGCATAGCACGGTGCCATGAACCAGAGCAGGGAAGGAATGCAGCTTACAAATAAACATTTTATTTTTGCAGTTGTCTTCTGTTAAGTCCACCAAGGTTAAGGGTCCTGTGGTGCTAGGGGCTGTACATACCTATAGTTAGGATCTGTTTGGCTTGAAAGGATTTGTAATGCAGAAATACTTTCTGGTGTAATAACCTTGATAGACTAGAAGTTGGAAAATTTGTAGACTAATTTTCTTTAACAGCTATATGGTCACATTGAGTCAGTCCTTTTGTTTCTGTTCCTCTTTTATCCTTTCTAGTTAGGAACTATTTGTACAGAGAATATCTCCTACCAAACCTATATACAGCACTGAACACAAACAGATTCTCATAATACGGAATATTGGTATGAATGAGGCAAAAAAAAAAAAAAAAATCAGTATCCCAGTTAGATTATTGAAAAAGTAGCAAATTGAAATAAATCTGAGTCCAAGCTCAGCAACTTAAACATAAGGTCATTCAGAAGGGGTATTTTTATTCGTGTGTACTCATGTCCTACTGTCAAGATCTGATCTGATCTTATACTGGTTTTCTTTAAGAAAAGGAAGAGCTATGGCAGCTGAGTGTTACAATCAGAGACCAAGTGAAAAACAGTGGGACTGGGAAAGGATACTCACTGCATATTGGATGAATGGGTCAAACTCTGAGTCCTGTGATGTCTGGCAACTTTCGGCAACAAGTAGAAACAAGGAGCAAAGAGCTGCAGTACCCCAGGATGGCATTTTGTCCAGTACCTTTGCTGTACAGCCTGAAAAGAAAATGCAGCAAAAAGATCAGGAGTTTTTCAGTTGATTCACACAGTAGGAAGTGTCAGCACATTCTACAAAACAGTATTTTCAGAATATTTCAGTATACCCAGCCTGTTTGCTCTGTCCAAGACAGAGCATGAAACAAGGTCTGTAATTATTTCCCTGCCGCTGTCACCAGAGTGTTTCTCTCATATCTCCTTTTTTTTTTTTTTTTTCCTGTGGCTACCTACCCTAAATGGAGAGAGAAATAAAGAGCTTGGAGAAAGCAGAATCCCAAGCAGATTTCTAACAGGGATAGGTGAGGTAATAATTCATCTCCTGTGATAAAAGTTGATTTTGGCTTTCACATATTGCTCACATTGAATATCTGGCGCTTAGCAAATGCACAGTCAGAACATAGGGGAATAGTGAGAAGCGCTGCCATTAGTGAGGGCCTGCTCCATTGCAGCAGGGAGAGCTCTGTTGCCAGCTGTGTCGTGCCCTGGAGAGGGCTGTGGTAACATTGAGGGCTCAGCCATAGATTTCTGTCCTTTAGTTGCCCCTTGGCTAACAAGGGGAACCACAAAGGGTGGCTGTGGTTACAGCCAGACTTGTATCAACTTTTTCTTTAGTGTTAGGCTTCTTCTGAAAAATGCCCTGAAGTAAAGCTCCTAAGATCTCTGTAGACTCAATAGAGTAAGTCTTTCTAAGGGAGATCCCCTGTGCATAGCTTCAGGCACCTAAACTGGGTGGAGAAATGCCCTCCTTAAGGCTGTCTCATATTTGCCGATTTCTTGTGAAGGGTGACTACTTCAGTAGCAGCAGTAGTAGCTAAAATTTTAGCAAAGTTAATGAAGCTGGCAGACTTATTTATCCTGTGGATTAAAACTGGATGGCTGAAATTGTTACATGTCCAGCCTCCTGCTCCTGTCCCAGCCTGAGCATGGACACCCCTGCCTCCTGAGCAGGGACGTCTGATCTGTTCCACTGCAGCTCCTGAACTACCTCAGTTTTCAGCATAGCTGTTAAGATAAACTAATAGAGGAATTTTACTTGGGCCTGCCTGGAAAAGACCATGTAATTAAACCCTTTGTCATCCTAGGTTTTCATCAGTAGCCTCTTTTTTTTTTTTTTTAAATCTACTCTTTTGAAAGAAAGTTCCTGGACTGCAGATGATACAAAATGTGGAGGAGTGATTCATAGGCTGGATGGTTATCCTGCTGTTCAGAGGGATCTTGACAGGCTGGAGAGATGGGCAGAGAGGAACCTCCTGAAGTTCTACAAAGGCAAGTGCAGGGTCCTGCACCTAGGGAGGAATCACCCCATGCATCAGGACAGGCTGGGGGTTGACCTGCTGGAAAGCGGCTCTGTGGCGAAGGACCTGGGAGTCCTGGTGGACAAGTTGACCAGGAGCCAGCAATGCACCCTCATGGCAAAGAAGCCCAACAGCATCTGGGCTGCATTAGGAAGGGCATAGTCATCAGGTCAAGAAAGGTGATCCTTCCCCTCTATTCAACACTGATAAGGCCACACTGGAGAGCTGGGTCCATCTCTGGGATCTCCAGTACAAGAGAGACATGGCACTACTGGAATGAGTCCAGCAAAGGGCCGTGAAGATGATGAAGGGACTGGAGCATCTGTCATATGAGGAAAGGCTGAGAGACCTGAGACTATTTAACATGGCTAAGAGAAGGTTCAAGAGGATCTTATTAATGTGTATAAACATCTGATGGTGGGGGGATAAAGATGGAGCCAGACTCTTTTCAGTGGTGCCCAATGACAGGATGAGAAGCAAAGACTGAAATACGGGAAATTACATCTGAACATAAGAAAAAAATCTTCACTTTGAAGATGATTAAACACTGGAATTGTTGCCCAGAAAGACTGGGGAATCTCCGTCCTTGCAGATACTCAAAACCCAGCTGGACATAGCTCTGAATAACTTGCTGTAGTTGACTCTATTCTGAGCAGAGGGGTTGCCCTAGATGATCTCCAGAGGTGCCTGCCAACCTCAACTGTTCTGTGATTTCACCTAAAATGTTTTTATCAGCCACATCATCTATGTGTATTGTCTTAAATTATATGAAAAGCCTAGTAAAGTGATCCCTTCTACACCCAGAGCATTAAGTGATTCCTTCCAGTTCAATGCATTTAAGCATTTTCAGATGATCTTTGTGTGAAGTCTGGAGTAAACACTGACACCACCTGAAAGGTGTATAAGGGAGAGACAATCTGAATTCACTGCCAGACAGACATCCTGACATTATCTCCTGGAAAAATGTGTAATTTAAGTTTCTAGAATGCACCTTCATTAACAACCCCGATGTCAACAAGTAAATAACCTAGAACATGAGTACTGACATACCAGAACATAACATGATACCTGAAACGGAAGTCCAGAAAAAAACAACCTTTTTCATATCAGTAATATCTAAGCAGATTTACTCATGGATAAGGAAAGATAAAGGGGCAGGCAAGCCATGCATGGACTCTCAGAGAAGGTGCTGACACACTTTATCTACCAAGAAGGAATGAAGAAAAGAAGCTGAAGAATACTGCAGGTTTTGTGCTTTGCTGCGAATATGTACTTTCTGAATATCCCTAGCAAAGCAGTTATCTAGCTCCAGAATGAACAACTAATAGCGAGCTATGGGAAAAGGCAGAACTCAAGCAGACTATGAAAATCATTTTAAGAAAGGCAAGCACTGAGGAAACGTTTTTAAGAATAGCACAGAAGAGCACTGGAGTAGATAAAATTGGCTTGATTAAAATTATGAGCTGTTGTAAAATTATTATCCTTTTGTATTGAAAAGGCTATCCATGCAAACCAGCTAGAACTTCAGGCTTTGGAAGGCAGTGAATCACCAGGTAAAAGCAGACAAATCAGCACCTGCTGAGACAGTGATGAACACTGACAGTGGATGCCTTATGCCACTACATTGCATGTCAGAGTTGATGCTCCCAAGTAGACAGGGTGCTTCACTGATTAGTAGACCCTATGACAAAAGATTTTAAAGTAAACATGATCTGTGGCCTCACCTTGTGAACGGAGGGAGGACAGCAATGAGCTTATAGCTAAAAAATACCCTTGAAGCCGCTGACTTGGGTTTCACTGACAGGCATTCGTCATGGTTCCTCAGCAAAGGTGGTTCTTAGGAGATTCATCTGCTGTGGGACTTCACCTGGATACAGACCTGGTTAAAAAATAGGAGATGAGTAGGAAGAAGAGGTCAGTTTTTCCAAGGGAGAGATGTTGTTACCAGAGCTCCACAGGAACCTATGTGTAACCCTATATCTTACTATCACTTCTCAAATGATGAGGAAAAGGTAGTGATTAATGAGGGAACACTGTGGATAACATTAAATGACTGAGATTAACAAAAACAAAGTTTATCTATGAAGATAAACTCATGAAATGGGGAGATGAAATTCAACGCAGATAAGGTTGTGTTGAATAACCTTATCAGGTAGTGTACCCAAAGAGGAATGATCCTGATATTATGTATTCTGTGATGCATTACGTACTTGCCCTGCTTTTGATACTCTTTTAAGTAAAAAATATCAGAGACAAGATACAGTGCTATCTAGACTTTTCAGCTGACCCAATGTGACTGCTCTTATGCCACTATATAGAATTAACCAGAAAGAGAGACATCTCACCAATTTGTAGTATCCAAAATACGTATCCTTAAAACAAATGACTATTAAAGGCTTTGTTTATCAAACAGGTGAATGTCTGACAGCATTGAAAAAAATATAGAGAAGCAGCAGCATCTCCTCAGTTCCCTGGGCATCTCTATCAATATCCAGAACTCCACAAAAGAGACTATTTTGCTGTTCAGAAGACATCAACCACTTGTGATAACATCAAGATAACTTCCATGGATCTGGCTGATCCCCAGATCAAGATGGATCAAGAGGGAACATTGAAAGCCAGAAGCAGTGAAATGGGTCCTTGAGGTTGTGACATGACTTAGCAATAGAAAAACTGAGAAGAACAAGAGTCGTGATAATTTTGCGTGTATGGCATATATACACTGCATATACCGCAGTAGCTTAATCTGTACAAAGAACTTGTATTTCAGTGATAACTGGTTGATAAAACAAATAGATAATAGAAAGGAAAAAAGGCCGTTACAAACCAGAGGTTATAGCATCTACTATAGCTTTTCATGTATCTTTCCACTGTTCACAAACTTGTATTCATGTTCAAATATTGTGGGTTATTCTCTATTTTGAAATGCACCCTTTGTGCAACCATGTAGCTGAGACCAAGCAGCCTATTAATTGTATATATGATAAACCATATAGAAGACAACTCATGTAAATGATGCTGTGCTGTTACTTAAGCTTTAATAGATAGTTAAGAGTCAAAAAGTCCCAAACCAGTATCTGGAAAATCAGAAAACTGGCAAACAAAAAATCAAATTGCAAATGGGACAAAATATTAATTTCCTTCTCAAGTAATGTGGCTGTTGCCTTTGTTCATCTAATTTCTTCTTGAAAAAAGACTTGATGGAAACTTTTTAGCAAGCAATCATACCATTATCTATGTACACACAGCTGGAAAATCAGAAGTTATGCAAGTATGTTCAGCATTCCCGATACAAACCATCTCCTGGGAGGCAGTAAGTACCATAGACTTAAAAAGCCCGGGAAAACTAAGAAAACCCAGGCTTGCTAGCAAATCTCTTCTCCACAGCATTCAGGCCAAAAAAGGTTATCTAAAGTTAACTCTAAAGCACAAAAGATTCCACAGAGGTAAGGAGCAGAGTCGTACTTTAGCCTAGAACATAGATGATCTACATGACCTTCTATTCTTTTTTCTCGTAGTTTCTCTTTTTCATAAATGTTGTAAAATAGTGACACTTTGTCTTGCAAATCCACTTAGCACAAAAGATACCAGCCCATACGTTTCTGAAAATAAGGAAGAAACCCAGAGATATAATATGGTTTACCTTTTCAGACGATTCAAGGAGAAGGTCTTCTAATTAGATTCATGCCATCTTAAAAGTCCTCTCGTTTCCACAACAGCCCACGTTGCTTTGATCTCTCTCAAATGGAACCCGAGTCATAGGAGCTTGTATAATTAACTGAACAAGTTATTACTGCCGGGAGAACATGCTGTCTCCAGCCTGCACTCAATTTTCAAGTGTGAGGCTGACCAGAGATGCCACTGTGAAAAACACACAAGGCATTTTAAGAGGAGATATTTCCTGATACCATTCATCAGGTAGTTGCATTATTTCCCCCTGCGCTAATCTAAGTCCTTCAGCGTCTTATCTGCCAATTACTTTATCATGTGAACTAACTTGTTCCACTGTTGTTACTCACCTGTTTTGTTCTACTGGAAAAGGGGAGTTGAGAACCCTGGGCAGCAAAACTCTGTTTGTGTAGCTGGGGCAAAATGTTTGTGGGCTTTGATATAAAAAACAAAGGAGGAAAAACCTCAGGTCTTCCCTACCTGAGCTTGCAGCATGCTCACCTTGTCAGACTCGCAGGCAAGTGGGTTGAGCTTGGCAGGCTCTGGGGATGTGTGCCAGTGCCCTCAGAGCAGCTGCACCTGGGCTCTGAAGGCTACTGTGGCAGAGGGTGAAGAGCAGGAAATTCCCTGAACTAGGCGGAGGCTCTGAGTTATCTGTGTTTCTACCTGGAATAAATTCAAGAGCCAGGAGCCCACTGCGTAAACACAGGACGCCTGTCCAAATAACGAGGGGGTTTTTGTGCCTACAGTATTTGACCACAACCCGTTTATCAATGGGATTTGTGCCTGTGCATGTGAGGCAGTGACTTGCTGAACTCAAGCAATTTGTCTAGAAGAACCTGGGATTAAACTCATATGGAACTCATATGGGATTTTTTTTTTTTTTAAGCAGCACTTTCTTCAGCAGATGAGTCTATGTAGATAGCTCCTGTCCCCCCTAGACTGGGAACGGTCCCTCTGAAGATCTTGATTTCTCGTAAGAAGGCATGGGATGGGGGCAATATACATGTGGGGCAGGCAGAGGTGCTCCAGAATCTCCAGAGCCACCAGGCAGCAGCTGAAGGCCAGGTGGGACACACCAGGGCATCCCAAAAGGCAGGCAACTGAGTCAAGCCATAAATGTCACTCATTGTTGCACTGCAGAATAATGGCAGCAAAAAAGTCGATAAGATGCCTGTCAAGGTGAGATGGCTTTCCCACTTCTGCAGTACTTCCAAGTCGATAAGTCAAGGTGACATGGCTTTCCCACTTCTGCAGTACTTCCCAAATTAAGGGGTCATGACCCCAGGGCTGGTCTCAGCAGCTATGGTAGGGTCATGTTGCCAGTTGAGTTTGGCAATTTATGATAAAGTGTGTCGATCCTAGCAGCACTGGGACAGGAGGGTTGGCTGTCACTATAGCATTGTGGCATTTTGTGTTGCCATTGGTATTAACTACCTTGGGTAGCAGAGGTGATTTTTGTGTCAGAGTGAGCTCATACTGGGTCTTCATCCCTCCATCATCTGTCTCTGGTGAGCGTGCTTGTTGCCTGATTTCTAACAGCCCTGAGACCCATCATACCATATTTGCCCTGTGCTGTGTTTAAGTCACAAAAAGCAAAATGTATTTAGCTAAGTTTGCCCTGCAGCATTTGCAGGTGCTGGCATTTGTAAGGATATTGTGGTGTGTGACTGTAAACTCCTCCCCCACAAGCCAGCTTGAGGGTAGGTTGTCTTTGGCAGCAACGCCAGCTTATTCCTGTTCCTCTTCCCACAAACCTGGCTGCTCTCTGCTCCCTGCACTGTGGTGAGTCAGTGCTCAGCCTGCTGTTTGGCGGCAGTTTTTAGCTGATTAAATTGGTGCAGCTGATGTCCCCTGCCTTTGCAGCCTGACCAGTGTTGCAGTGGCAATGGTCTTGTTTGATGCCCAGCGGAGCTGGTTCAGGCATCTAAACAACAAGCAGAAAACCAAGGCTACATCTACAGCAGCGTATGCAACCACTTCTGTCTCTGCGGAGGGGTTTTACTGCCAACCATATACTGGCTCTGGTGCTTTTAAGACCCTTCTGTGAGGTGATTTAACTCACTGTCCCTGCAGAAAACTAACCCAACAAAAAGGCGTCTAGCTTTCTTTCATATGAGTGAGTTTAATCAGCTCAGACAAGAGCGCAGTGAGTGCCAGAGCCCGAACAAGGAGTGTAGCAACTCATGTGGCCAGAAGCAGGGAACGGGAAGGAAGGGATGGAGCTGGGCAGGAGGGTCAGGAGCATGCAACCCCATCCCTTCTGCCCCAGCAAGCAGTTTAGCTGCAATTTAAGGCATGGCCAATCCTTGCGGAAACAGCTAAATAGTTTTCACTCAGAGTTGCTGCCACAGCTGGCTGCTTGCAGGTCCAGACAAGCAGCAGCGTCCACACAGAAGATGGAGTGCAGAGGAGGGCAGGACTAGCAGAGCCATGGTTTAGACCAGGTTTAGCTGTGGTGGATTCACATCTTCCATGGTACCAGTCCTAGACCAGAACATTCATCTAATCTAACCCTCGCACACACTTTTTTTTTTTTTTTGGTGCTGTAGGTTTCAAAAATTTTAGCCATTAGCACCTTGGGGTGTGGAATGGGAAAAAATGGTGGCAAGGGGAAAAGACTCCCTGAAATGGGGTTTCTGCTGGAGACAGTGTGTATCATCAAACTGCAGCGTAAAAGGTACGAAAAATACGTGTTCGCTTTGCAGGAGAATGTGAAAACTGTGCAATGTCAGAGCATTAGGTACGTGATCAACAAGGTATGTGAGCACAGAGGGATCACTGAATCTCCTAACCATCTTGCTAAGTGTTTTTTTCCTCGATTCGTTCATCATGTACCCCCATGTCACCAGCAGCTGTGAACTTTCTGAATGTTAAGGTTCTGGTTTAGCAAATGTTTTGAAGGAGGAAGCCTAAAAAGATCTCATCAGCTGAAGGAAGTGGATTTAGCTAGAGGTAAATGTGCTTCTAAGCCAGTTGTTGTTGTTGATTATGCGTTTCTAAAGCAGTGGCAGGTGAGCAGGTTGCAGAATGCCCTTGGTGCTGTACAAACAAAAAAATAATTTCTGCCTTACAGAGCTTAACACCAGTGAAACGGAGAACCAGATGGTGGTGTTGACTGGCCCATTAGAGGTAGCTGGAGGCCAGGTATATGTTAGGCCACTGGCTGAAAATAGCTCTCTTTATTCTCGTGTTGTAGGGAGCAATGGAGAAAAATCTGCCTGCATCATGCAAAAGGCACATCCATCATCAGGTTTGCATGACAACTGGGCACCTGCTACAGGGTGTCTCCCCTAGGCTGCCCAACGCTGGTCCTGAAATACTTCTGCCATCAATTATACGCATCTGGGCACAAATCACCTGTGTTTATTATCCCAGTTCCAGCCCCAGGGCACATCTGAGCATGCACTTTAAGAGCCAAAACAGGTCAGAGAACGCACGAAGGGTGTGTTACAGGATATCTGCTCTGAACTAGGAGCATTTCATCCAAAACAAGGCAGAGCTATGCTGACCTGGTAATTCACTGAGACTATACCACTACAAAGGCAGGGGGACACATTTCATTTGGTGTGAGCAAGAACATGGGAGCATGGTAATGTTTCCATGTAGATGCAACCTGAGAGATACCATTCAAAGCAAAAGTAGATTGGAAACAATTTAGAAATGAAACTAATAAGATATAGCCCTGTAAACTCATCCACCTTCATTCCAGTCCTGTGATGGCTCTTAACACTTCAGTAACCAGGAAGCCTACTTTGGTAAATCTCCTCTCTAGGATCTAACTGACAACTCAGCAGCTTGTGCAATATATTCCATTGCCACTTTTATCCTGAACTCAGAAAAAGCCACCAAAGCCAGGCTGAAACTGGATGCAACACACGCAAATGCAAGAAGGGAACCACCTTGCAGAGATCTGATACACTGCAGGTTCTTATGATATTTTTCTCAGGTGTTTTTATCTTTCAGTCTGAATTTTGCATGGTCAGCCTCTCAGAGAGATGTATTTTCCAAATGGAAGAACAGAATCAACCCCAAGCATATTGGAACTAATGGACAGATTTTCCTTGAGACAAAAGGGCTTTACCAGAGTGAACCTGGTAATGCCTGGGGCTTCATTTCTTACCTCTCTCAAGTAACTCTGTACGGTTTCACCTACCTCAATACTGTAGTCTTTCAGAAAAAGATGTAGAGGAAGTCAAAGCAAATTGCTGCCTAAATCTAGCCAGTGTATTTTGTTGCAAATAAGTTAATATCTTTCTGAGATATATCCTTAAGCATTTTGAATTTAAGGCCTAGAAGGTAACTAGTCTGCTCTACTTGATATTGTTGAGGTCTTGGCTGGAGTGCTGCGTTCAAAGGTTGGTGTATTGGAGAGCATCCAAACGAGAGACATATGAATACTAAGAGATGAAGACAGAGTGAATTATGCAAACAGGTTGAAGGTTGTTCAATTTGGCAAAGAAAATGCTCAGATAAGGACATGATAATGGTCTGTCAGTTTGCAAAGGGCTGATATAAATGTTCTCAATGAAGGATGACATGGAATCACACAGTCTGAAGCAAAGACAAATATGTTAGCTGTCATGGAAAATGTGCAACTGTAAAAGCTAGAAAAGCACTGCATTAGGCTACCTAGGGTAGCTGCAAAGTTCCCTTCGATGGAGGCTTATAAGAACAGGCAATAACACATCTGACGCGGAAGAGAGCTCTTGATTCTGCCTTCATGTGAGTCTGTAGGGAAGGGGTGCAATGCTGACAGTTTATTGACCCTTTCTTAATTACCACTTTCTGGTTCTCTATGGTTGCTTCAATCTATGTGCAATGAATGAGGTTTAAATCCTGACTAATTTTCCTTTCAGAGGAGACATGCCGGATCATTGTTCTGTGTACTCAGAGCTGCGTTTGGACTCTGCAATATACTTCTTAGGTTCAGGCCCTTCTGGACCACTTCAGCGCTATCTTCTCTCTGATTTAAACGCAGAGAAACTGAACAATGTCTACAACCTCATCAAGGGCTTCCTCAAGGTGATAAGTATTTCCAGAGGAGGGCTCTGGTTCACACCGTCTTCTACATGAAATCACATTTTCCATCCTTTTATGTGAGGCATATACTTTTCCTTCTTGACCTATGACTTTTAATTCCTCTACTTCTCTCTAAGTCTCTTTCTGAGCTGCTGATGACCTTTTTACAG